GATGAGCTGGTATCATGGGTCGCGTCAATCAACAACACTTTTGGAAAGTGCTCGAACATGAACCGCTGTGCACGGACTGGATGGATATACACTGTGCGACGCTCTAGTCTCATTACAAATTCGTAGGTTAGTGCATGTAATGCAGAGCTAAAAGACGTAGAACGCACCTCTTTGATTAAGTAAATCCTTGCATCATTCTCCCTCGGCGAAGAAAAATTCTCTAGGATGGATTAAATCCGCCCTTTAATCGCTGGAAAGGCGTAGCTTTCTTGCTGAAGTCAAGCTATTAGGTTGTGTACATCCTTCATTGAAGGTTCCACCGTACTGCTCTCTGTTATGTATTAAATAATACGCTTTCGACTCGCACCGTCCCTGTCGAGCGTTCGAGTAGTAGATATATTCGTGGTAGGTCTGATAGATCTCATGGCTCACGTCGCCGGTTTTCTGTCCGGTGGTGCAAACCCTTCAATTGCGGTTTCACATGCGCTAATCTAATCACGAAACAAATCTGTTACAGTTAAATTTCACTTGGTAAGTCCACAAATACTATATATACCCGAGCAGGACCCAATTTTCTTTGAATGTTGGTTAGGTCGCAAACCTTGACATCTGTTAGACCTTGGCTTTCCGGAATGTGTACACACGTAGGTCTTATTGTAGAATTGCACTTGAATTTTAATGTTCAGACTGCTATATTGGGTCCAGGAGATGAGGAAAAATCGATATCTGTGCGTTTTAATGGCGTGCATGCTGATCATGCTTGCTCGGTACGACCCGGAGCAGTCTCAATATCGCACTCGGCTCGGAAACATCGCGTTTCTAAGGCGCTTTCTCAAGTAAAACCGCCTTTCGGGTTGACGGATTACGCATAAGGGTAGAAAGAAGCGCCCAGACATGGAGTTATAGTAAGCATTTTGTGCTGCTCGCATTATTTCTTCCCTAATTTAAGTCGAATTATAACCTTAGCTTGTTGCGAATGTGCATTCGCAGTCTATCCAGCATGTGATTGAAGAAGATGGCATCCTAGCAGCTGAACATGGGGACAGCATGCTTGCCGCCATGTTTAATATGGACCAAACAGTTGTTTACATCGATATGGCCGGCAAGACGACGATCGATTTCAGAGGAAATCCCACCATAGGCGTGCTACAAGGTATAAATAGTGCTAAGTTGAATTCTGTTTTGGATTTTAGTTATAATTTTAAAAACAATATTTTAAAGAAAGCGCAATCGACGGGTAAGAGCATCCGTTTCTCTTGCGCCGCATGCCACAGGGGCCAAGCTCACCCCGCTGATCATTTTTGCTAGGATTTCCGAAGGCCCCGTCTCTTAAAACGTATGGAAGCCAGTTTTTGGCTCCGCTTATGCTAAGCATATCGTTCAAAAAAAAAAACTTTTTGCAACGAGAAGGGTAATGACGGAGTAATCCAACAGAATTTTGCAATTTATTTTTGTGGTCTTGATGATTTTTTTTTGCATTTTATCTTAGCTGTATAAAAGGTTTGGCAGCCAAGTGCTGATGGATGCCGGCTGCTCATACTTGACAGTCTTAAAGTCCACAAAATGGCTTCGGTAAGAGAAGCACTCGACAAATGCTGTACGCAGGTACGGTTTGTACCCCCTGGAATCAAGAAGACGAGACAGCCAATGGACATTGCCGTGATGAAGCCTTTCAAGGATGCCTTCCGGTAAGTATTTTGTTTTCACTTGTTTGACAATTATATTAACGTTTTGTTTTGCTATCTCGACTTTAACAACAGGAGCATCTATTTCAACTACCATGTAGGTACCCGTTTCCAGCTTTGACATCTGAGAAGAGGGCTCTACTGTCGCCTTTTGTGGTTGAAGTGTGGGAAAGTGTCAAGCTCGACACGATTGTAAAGGTTTTGAGAGAGATGGGGTTATTCCGCCAAGACCGCGGGATCAAGAGGTTCGCTTCCGGGTTGCTGACATTGTTGCTGATGCACCATTGGTGCAGGACGAGTAATTGGTCCGCCAATGCTAAATACATGTTCTCCTTGATTTTCAAAGCGTTACTTTCATTTTTGTGAAAAGAATATATTTTTTAGCTTTGAAACATTTTGATCGAGAGGGGGTGGCGTCCTCGAGAATAATAACATGCTATTTTTTCTGTATGTGAAGATGGTATTTTTACGACTGTCTCACAGAATCCGTTTGTCCTACTGAATCCGAATTTTACGGAAATTGCTTTTAATGTATTATGGTTATTATTATTAAGACATCAACTAGTAATTATCTTTATATGAAGAAAAATTGGCAATGCAAGCTCACCAGAACAGCGCCAGTCTTCACGTGAGCACGGTGAGGCTCTAGCGACTGGTCAAGAGGATTGATAAAACATCGCAATGGTGTGTCAGCTGTCCATTTTGCCGACCGCAAAATTCTAAATGTTGGTATTTAAACTCGATTCAGCTCTTACAGTATCGCCAACCAACAAGTCAAATCGACGGTCTCTCTAATGGTGTGAGTACTGCGTTTCGTAAGACGAACGTAAGAAAAAATCAGATGAGTGCACGATATCACAACATTGACCAATGAGAGAGCAATATTATTAATAGTTACAATATTATTGGTAAAAATTATTTAAGTTAGTTTACTGCTCGCAACAATATAAGTATAAAAATACGCAGGTCAAGGCGCAGATCATTATTAAAAAATTTCGCCCGCAGTATATTTTTTTCAAAAAATGATATTTATACTAGAGAATATTAGTTTCTGGGCCTGGGTACATTTGAATGTAGGTCATGGACACTTTGGTCTTTGATTGGCTAATGTTACATCATAGCCGAGCCAAATGCAGACTAAAAGCCTTCCTAATTCGGCTTTTATCCAATAGTATCACAGAAAATACAGCAGTGAACCCGTCAATCTAATTGTCCAGTACATTAAAGCAGCTTTTGTACCTACCCGCGTGCAAACTTACCAAGCCCGTAAAGCATGAGCCGATACTAACATGTACTTCCTCCGATCGGAAATATAGGCGAGGCATCTGTGTAAATTGTGTCCGAAAATAGAAGCGGTTTGCTTACAAATTTAAGTAATTTAATAGTACTGTCGTATTTCGCCTAAGTACGCCCTTACAAATGCTGTTGTTGTTGTCGGCAGCTGCAAACCAGACCCTATGAACATCTAAGCACTCTACGCGACACCTTTTAATAGAGAATCGCACGTGTCATATCTCTACAAGGTTTTATAGCATTTCGTGTAAAATTGACATCCCGACGAAAAATATTCAAATTTCACATCTTCACCACGAACTTTGCATAACGATAACTTCGCGACCTGGTGGTTGATTTGCTTCAAACTTCAACAAAAAATCACCGTAATTCAAACGGCAGTTCAGACCAATCAGCTGCTCGCTTAAAGGTTTTCTGTTTTTGAAGTTAATTTCGCCCGCCCATCCTGCTTATACTTTCGGACGGAGTAAGTAGTATTTTGCAACATGTAATGAGTAGTGCAAAAGGCGATGCTGTCTAATTTTTTTAAATAATTTTGAGATTGATTATTTTCGTGGTCAAGTGGGGCAAACGCCTCTTTTATTCATAGATGGTATATCTATAAGTATTACCCGTGTTACCCATCAAAGGAGGCAAAATGCCCCACCTGATTTTTTTGTGTGTGGACGAGACAGGAACAGCATAGATTTGCTTAAGATTTGAAGTAGTTTATGAAAAGAGGCGAAAACGCCGCCTTTGATGTGCTAATGGCTTTAAGTTTCTATACTATAGTATGATTAGATCAAAGTCACGAATAAATTTATCTATAAAAAAATTAAAATGGCATCAATAACAGTAAATATATTACTATTTTTATGTCTTTCAAAATTCTTATATCCGAATTCGCCATGGACCCGGAAGAAGAGCTGCCGCTACATCTCGAAAACCGCGAGTTTAAATTGCGAGACGAAGCGGATGGCGATAACTATGACTGAAAATGCGTGCGTTTACGGCTATACAACTGGAAACATGCCGTCTCGCGCGATGAAACGCCACCGGTAACTAGTATCCGAGGGCCCGAGTGGGTAGAGATGTGGAGCACCTGTGCGTCGCTGAAAAGCATTGTATTACCAGTGCCGTGGCCGCATTGCGCTGATATTCTACAGCGCGGGTCGATCCAGCAACTTTACGCAAACTGGAGTCGCCGACAAAGTTGCACAGCAAACGACGATTTGGAATTGGTAGCAGCATAGCATCGATGTGCGTCTCTTGCAACTTGACGAAGCCGTTCCGCCGCCCTGTTTATTAGTTGGTCAAGAAGAAGTGACGAGCGTGTGAAGCTTTTCACTTTGATAATGACTATGGCAAGCCAAGGTAACAATGGTGGACGATCTAGAACTCAGACTAAGGTTTATGGTCGAGCAGTTGAGTTGCAGCTGAAAACGAATCCGCACCATCACTGGGACGATTCGTTGTTGGGTACAACTCGAGGTACCAACAGGAGAGGGAGCACGTAGGCGCAGAGCAGAGCGTCAAGGTATGCCGTTTCGTTCAAGTAGCAGCCAGTTTGTCTTTGCTCTAACTAAATCACTTTCCAGCTTAGATTCGACTGATCAAGTTTTCACTACCAACCTGCCCTCCCTTGCTGGTCGTCGCGAATGCACGACGTCGACTTCCTCTGCAAAAGGCCACTTCTATTAGGTTATGATGTCTACGGCTACGATCTCAACGTTTACGACGAAGCTTAAGCAGTTCAGCGGAACTGGCTTCCCAGCATGGGGTGCGCAAGTCAAGCTCGTACCGGAGACCAAAGATAGGTGGGTCGCTGTGAGCGAGGCCACATCGACTGAAGCTGAACTGAAGACTGAAATGGATGCTGCAGCATCGGCTGTTGCTACTCCGGGAACATTAACGTCGCCGATCTCGCCGGCGACACCTCTCAATGACCGATTGATGGAGCAAAAGACGGCGGCTTCCATCATTTTGGCGGCATTGAGCGAGAAACTCGCTGCGGAGGTGTACCTGTTGGAATTCCCACTGGTAATGTTCCGACACCTGCGGCTGACCTACAACGTAAAGTGTAGTGCAAGTATCGGAGCGGCTAAGCGAGAGTACATGGGGCTCTTCCTCGACGGAGATGACTCCATGATTGTGCATATCAAGACGACAAGACATGTCCTTGATGAGCTGCAAGAGCAGCACGTGACTGTCTCTGATAAAGAGAAGAGACAAAAATGCATGCAGAGCCTGGGCCCTACTTGGAATGGCTTCGTTGGGGTTTTCAAGGCGTCCGTGACGCTCGAGGCAACGCTGCAACGATGTCATGCTGAGGTGATTCGTCGCGAACAGCAGAGCGGTCGACAGTCGACCAGTGGCTCTTCGAGTGGCGGTAAGGCGACCGCTGCGTTCATCGCTGAATTCAAGCCAGGGAATAAAAAACCTAAGTCAAAGAAGAAGCGTGATGTGTCGAAGGTCAAATGCTTCAATTGCAGCCAGTTTGGTCATTATGCACGGAATTGCACAAATGACCAAGATCCGTCAGCCACGAGAAAGGAAGCTGCGAGCATGGCGTTTTCAGTGGAGGGCGCAATGGCCAATAGCAGCCGAGAATGGATTGTCGACAGCAGTGCGACAAGCCATATGACCGGTCACATCGAAAATCTGGTCGACGTGCACATGCTAGATGAGCCACGCCCATTGGCCGTTGCTTCAGGTGAGACCATGTTCGCTACTGATGTTGGGAACGCGCCACTACTCCGTGATGGTCACGAAGCTTGCGCGCTGTACGATGTTCTCTATGTGAAAGGCCTCGCACGTAACCTCGTCTCGGTCGCGGCCGCATCCCGCAATGACATGGCGTTTTTGTTCAAGGGTGTCTCTTGTGTGATTCGCTCTGAGAATGGGATGACGTTGGAGGCGTCGCAGGAACCCCATCACATGTACGTGGTGTCGATGATTAGCGAGTCTGTCGGTGAAGCTGCTATGATGGCGACGGAAGCACTACACGTGAAAAACGTGGCACCGTCGTCTTGGTCGTCTAAACACACAAAGCGTACAGCAAGTTCTCGCAGATCCGGAGCTTCCCTGGAGAGGAGCGATGGAACAGGCTTGTCCGACTTGTGTGAGTGGCAAACTAACTCGAAGACCATTTCCTGCGAAGAAACCTCGTGAGCTGCAGAAAAATCAGCTTCTACTTACAATCGACTACGTTGGGCCAATGCAGGTGACCGCACGTGATGGCTATACCGGGCTAGTGAATATTGTAATTGAACCGTTTCACCTTGAGATGGTGTACCCCCTGCATGACAAGAGCTCGCGTACTCAACTAGATGCAATCGAGGATTGCGTGACGAAGCTCAAGGCGTACGTGCCAGACTATCGTGTAGCCTTTCTAAAATCTGATAGCGCTGCTGAGTACTTTGGAGGCGAGATCGTAGCTTACTGCAAGAAGAACAGCGTCGTACAGGGGTTCAGCACTCCGTACCGTCCTCAACAAAATTAGAATGTAGAGAGAGGAAATCGCGTTGTTGTGGAGATGGCTCGGTCCATGATGCTGGGAGCTCACTTGCCCATGACCTACTGGGCCGACGCTGTTTTTTGAGCTGCGTATGCCCGGACCGCTGCCCAACCAAAGTACTCAATGGCAAGACGCCTATGGAGGCCTTTCTCGGAATGCCACCGTTATAACCAACATTCGTATCTTTGGTTGCAAGGTGCAAGCGCTGGTTCCCAAAGAGCATCGGAGAAAGCTGGACGCCAAGACTCGAAGCGGGATATTAGCTGGCTACGTGGCAGGAGGAGCATACCTAGTGCATGTTCCTGAAAATGGCGCTGGTGACACAATCACATCCCGCACAGTGGTGTTTTATGAGGACCAGCTCCTGCCCCCGCCCGACAACGATGAGATCCAATTCAGTACGCAATTAGAAAGGACGGTGCAAGAGCTGGTGGAGCGCACTGAGCAGTTGCGCCTGGATAACATCAATGAAGAAAAGGAGGACGTCGTTATGGGACCGAGGGGTTCGCGAGAAGAACTGGCAGTGTCAGCCATGCGTCAGGAACCGATGGAAGCAGCGAGACTACAAGCAAGACTGAGAGGTGATCCACGTCAAGAGAAGGCCCTTTCTCCTCTTCGTCGATCAAGCCAAATTCCGAGGCCCGGCCAACGACGCCTAGACTTCGAGGAATCTCATATGACTCTAGAAGAGGTGTGTCAAATGATCGAGGAGCGTATGGCATCCGCGCAGATCGGTGTCATTATGTGCGGGACGCATTTATCCACCGTGAGTTAACCCCTAGTGATATCAAAAATTGGGCACTCGGAGTGGAGCCGATCAACCTCAAGTAGGTACGACAAGCCGAGAATCGAAACGAGTGGGAGGCGGAAATGCGCGACGAGATTCAGAGCCTCCTGAACAACGACACATTTGAGGAAGTCCTGCTGCCACGCGCGCTCGGCGATAAAGTCAAAATCGGTCTTCAAGAAGAAGAGCGCAGATGGGACGCTAGACAAATACAAAGCTCGACTTGTTGCTAAAGGATTTAGCCAACGCTATGGAGAAGACTACACGGAAACGTTCGGTCCTTGTGGTTGCTGTTCAACGGCGAATGAATCGTCTCCAACTCGACATCAAGACTGTTTTTCTGAACTCTGAGCTGGAGGAGCACATCTATCTCGAACCTGCTGAGGGCTTTGAATCTCCCGATGGTTATGTGTGGCGACTTTTCCAAGCACTGTTTGGACTGAACAGGCTTCAAAAGCATGATACGACAACCTCTCTGGAGTTTTATTGAGGCTTGGGTTTCGACAAGGAGTGGCCGACACGTGCCTGTTCGTGAAGGGCAGTGGCGAGAACTTGGTGGTCGTGCTTGTATAGGTTGACGACATTCTGGCCTTTGTAGTGCGAGATGAGGACATATTCAACTTTCGGACGGCTGTGTAACAAGCGTACAGTGTCAATCATTACGAAGATAGCAATTACTTCCTGGGGCAGGATCTACAGTGGTCAACAGGAGGCGACGAAGTACGCCTCAGCCAGAAGAAATACGCATCGACGAATCTGGGGCAATTTGATATGCAACGTACACGGACTGCACGCACACCAATGGAGGGTCATTATCGCGATCGGTTGTTCAAGCAACATGAGGCGACAGCATTCCGTCCACGACCTACAATTGGGGCGCTGTTGTATATGTCAGCTATCAGCAGGATCGATATTACGACTGTTGTGCGCTCAAGAAATCGAGCGTCCAACAGACAGCGCGTGGCATTGATCGTGTATTTCGCTACCTTAATGGTACACGCGACTTCGGACTGACGTTCAGAGGTGGTGTTGAGAAAGGCCTGGTGATTTACTGTGATGCTGCGCTCTCGGTGGAAAGAGATTGCAAGTCCGCGACGGGCTATGCTATATATTACGATGGTTGCCATGTTGAGTGGGGTCTAAGAAACAATCCATGGTGACGCTCTCATCTACGGAGGCGGAGTACATCGCCATGTGCGCAGGTGCTCAAGAGTGTATCGGGCTCAGCATAGTTCTGAAGGACCTGGGCCTAGAAGTCGAGCAAATCCTGTTGATGGGAAGACATCCACATCTGGCCGAGAGTAAAGCCGTGGCACAGCGTTCGCGTCACATCAACATCAAGTACTTTGGCTACGCGGGAAGGTGGTCCAAAATGCCGTTCGTGCTCAGTATTGCCCAACTAGCGAAATGGTCACTGATCACTTTACGAAGCCACTTGGGGCAGTGAAGCTTTCGTGACGAGCTAGGTGTTCGTCGAGCGGGGGTATTAGCTGGCCAAGAAGAAGCGACGAATGTGCGTGAAGCTTCTCACTGTGGTAGCGACAAAGGTAACCCAAGGTAACACTGGTGGACGACCTAGAGCTCAAACTTGAGTTTGTGGTCGAGCAGTTGAGTTGCAGCTGAAAACGAATCCGCACCATCACTGGGACGATTCGTTGTTGGGTACAACTCGAGGTACCAACAGGAGAGGGAGCACGTAGGCGCAGAGCAGATCGTCAAGGTATGCCGTTTCGTTCAAGTAGCAGCCAGTTTGTCTTTGCTCTCTAACTAAATCACTTTCCAGCTTAGATTCGACTGATCAAGTCTTCACTACCAACCTGCCCTCCCTTGCTGTCGTCGCGAATGCACGACGTCGACTTCCTCTGCAAGAGGCCACTTCTTATACTGTTCAAGGAATCGGATACTAATCACCTGTGGTGTTTCATCGCGCGAGACGGCATGTTTCCAGTTGTATAGCCGTAAACGCCACGCATTTTCAGCCGTAGTTATCGCCATCGGCTTCGTCTCGCGATTTAAACTCGCGGTTCTCGAGATGTGGCGGCAGCTCTTCTTCGGGGTCTATGGCGAGTTCAAAAATGAAAAGCTTTATTTTTATAGTAATAGTACTATTTTCGATACTAAATTTTAATAGTAACTCATTTTCTCAAAAGCTAACATAATATTTCAATATTAACTTAGAGATTTGAGAAATATTAGATACTAGATGATATTTTATGATTTTCACTTTAGTACGTTTATTGCCACCTTACCCTCTGTGAACCGCCAAAGAACTCTTTTGGTCAGTTTCTAGAACAGCAGTAGGTTTTAAGACTGACGAGTATTTGCTCTAGTATATCACTGTGACACAGACAAAGGCGGTCGAGACGGAAAACTGCAAACGGTTTCAGCTGTTTCATGTCGATAGAGCAAAATCGAGGTATTTGTTCTTGTTCTCTACCGATAGCCTCGTCCACATCGTGCGTCTAATAAACCTACAGCCTGTAACGCTAGATTAATGCGCTTAGCAGTGCCAACACACGACGCCAACCTTGCCGTCACTCTCACAATTGTCCCGGCCTCACGGTTGATTAGTATTACTTCAGCTAGTCGAACGCTAACGACATCTGGTTGGTGAATAAAAACAGATTACAAAATCTTTGAAAAATATAATATCGTATTAACTAAAATTAAGTTGATATTTAATAATATCATTTTGTCTCAGAAGAAAATATTTGGTGATATTTTTTAAATGAACTGGTCTACAGGTAATATTTTTACAATATTTTTATAGCGGCAGAAAATGATGGGGCTAGCTAATCCAAAATAAATTATTATCTTTGGATAATCGGCGATAACTTCACCAAAATAGCCTTAAACTGCGTGCATAGGGCGGGAATAGAAAGCTGAGGTTTCGTAGCTCCTTCTTCCATAAATTAGGACTCTTCATCTCTTTCATTTCAGGAAGTGCAATGCCGCGCAGACACCAGTTCAGTCCGGACGAGAAAACCCTAGTTTGCAAAGTATATGATTATTTCGTCGCCGAGGCAGAAGTGGAGGGCGGGACTCGTGCCATCGAGCTAAAGAGGCGACGAACTTTAGGAAAAACACAGTTTTTCGGGTGCTCCGGGCAAGGAACGCCAATTTTGCCGAGGTGCGCTTGTCATTTAAGCCCATATAGG